ACACACTCTGTGAAGAGCAATAAGGTGAGGCACTATGTAACGAGCCATGCCTCTGTTATGCTTCAGTGGTGGTCAGGCAGCAACACATTAGAAAGACCACACTTCAGAAGCAGCTGAAGTGTATTTACATTTATTTATTTATTTATTTATTTTCGAGACAGAGTCTCGCTCTGTCGCGCAGGCTGGAGTGCAGTGGCACGATCTCGGCTCACTGCAACATCTACCTCCTGGGTTCAAGTGATTCTCATGCTTCAGCCTCGCAAGCAGCTGGGACTATAGGCGTGTGCCACCACACCCCACTAATTTTTTGTATCTTTAGTACAGACGGGGTTTCACCATGCTGACCAGGCTGGTCTGGAACTCCTGACCTCAAGTGATCTGCCCACCTCAGTCTCCCAAGGTGCTGGGATTGCAGACGTGAGCCACTGTGCCCAGCCCAAATCCCATATATTTTAGATTTTGCTAATTGCATATATGAGATCCCATTTTTAACATTTATCATACTTTTGGGCAAGCCAAAAATAAAAACCCATCTCTGATGTTTACTATGCTAATTAGCAAACCATGTGATGTGGATCAAGATGGTGATCATAGGCGTCCTTGTGATATGCGCTCCTGAAGTGTAGTCTTTTTAATGTGTTGCTGCCTACCATCATGGAAGCCTAGAATTCTCAGTTTGTGTGAGTAGAATTGAAGCTTACATACTAGCACATTCATAATATCACATTTCATATGCTGAAGTAGGTTAATGTATGTTACGGCAATCATACAGGTTCTCCAGTTGCAGCATGTGGAACTCCAGTTTGTAGCCTTTTTATATAGGAATTCATGCCAGCTTTGTAGGAGTCTCCATTCTAGCAGGGGAGAGGTATCATTTGAGTAAGGATAAAAGGGTAGAGTAACAGAAGTGTGGTTGTGTTCTGGGAATGCACTGCAGAGTGTGCAGCCAGATGGAAGAAGTGATGCCTTCCCCCATACAGATCCTAAAACTGACACTGAGACAGGATGCAGTGATGGTGGAAAACTTTAACTGCTAGTGACGCTGGAGACCCACTCTGCTAATGGCAGTGCATCTCAATTACTTTCAACTTGCCTTGCCGATTTTCTCCCTCAGACATCGAAGAAGTAACAAAGAAAACGACCACTTTCTACCTAAACTCTAAGCTATATGGAACAATTTAGATTATGAGGTGAAACGGATGGGAATCCTAGAAGAAAGCACATGTTCAGCTTAGTTTACTTTGACAAACATTTGATAAATGCCAGACATTATGTTGGGCATTGGTGACCAAAAAATGACCAAGGAAACTATGAGGACCAACAAACCCAAACTGGATGAGTCAGGAAGTATTTTCCAAAACATTAATTGAGTCTTAAAAATGAGTGGTGTGTGCCAAGTGAAGAAGAAAGAATGTGGCGATGGTGCTGGGCCTGGGGGGTAGTGTTCCAGGCAGCAGGGACAACAGCAATAAAGTCATAGAAGCATGGCATAGCCTTAGGGCACAGAAGTCTTACAAAATATTGGATACTGTTGGATTTTGAAGCACCAGGCAGGGAGAGCAGGGGAAGGAAGCTAGAAGGAAAGAAGAAATTAGCCATAAAGGACCTTGTTTATCATGCTAAGAAATTTGGAATTTGCCTAGAATGAATCAATAAAAGGTGTTAAACAGAAGAGTGACATTGTTAGAATGCATTTTAGATAACATGCACTGGTTAGACCCTGGGACAGATGGAGCAGGACTGGAGGCAGGGAGATCAGGGGGAAGCTATGCTAACAGTTCACACGTGATGAAGGTTAAAGGCAGCGTTTTAATAGGATGGGAGAACATTTGAGCATATGTATAGGATGAAGGAAGAAACTAGTAGTAAGGGAAATCTGGGAGATGGGATAATTAGTTGGAGCACAGTCAGAAGAGTTAGAGCTGAAGTATTAATAGAATTAAATTAGGCTTAAATCATTCCTCTGAAGCCCACAGGACAGAGATAAAAGAGAGCAGAATGGGACCTTGGGTCAGGAAGTAATAGCATGATGACCAGTGACGGTTAGAGTTCATGGAGGCAGTCGAGATAACTTACATTTTAGGAAAGTAGATTTAAATACATTTAGAATAAAGTTATGATCCCACAGCTTTGAGTCTTGGAATTTGTGAGGCGTGCAAAAATAAAAGCCAGCCCTTAGAGTGAAAAGAAAAGAGAGCAATTTATTAACAAAGACTTCTTTGGAGTTTCTCCTTAGAAACCAGAATTTGGGAGGACTTGTGTATTAGACTTTTGTTGAAAAGAGGACTTTATAAGCAAGTTTCCACGAATCAAAAGCTGCCTGAGACTGCCGAGACCAGTTTGGTCCGGGAGACCCTAAGCCAGCAGAGCTAGAGGAATTAAAGATACACACACAGAAATATAGACATGTGAAGTGGGAAATCAGGGGTCTCACAGCCTTCAGAGCTGAGAGCCTCAAACAGAGATTTACCTATGTATTTATTAACAGCAAGCCAGTCATTATCATTGTTTCTATAGATATTTGATTAACTAAAAGTATCCCTTATGGGAAACGAAGGGATGGGCTGAATTAAAGGAATAGGTTGGGCTAGTTAACTGCAGCAGGATCATGTCCTTAAGGCACAGATTGCTCATGCTATTGTTTGTGGCTTAAGAATGCCTTTAAGCGGTTTTCCACCCTGGGCGGGTCAGGTGTTCCTTGCCCTTATTCCCGTAATCCCACAACCTTCCAGCCTGGGCTTTATGGCCATCATGAACATGTCACAATGCTGCAGAGATTTTGTTTATGGCCAGTTTTGGGGCCAGTTTATGGCCAGATTCTGGGGGGCTTGTTCCCAACAGAGTCACTCCCAATAAGCTAAAGCTTGGAGGAAATGGTAAGGCCAACCAAAAAGAGCTCTTTAAAAGTTATCTTCATAGAAAAAAAATTTAAAATTTGCAGTGCCACTGATTTGGAGAGAAGGCATAATGTTCATAAAAGGAAATGACAGAGAACAAACATAAAATTCCCTTTATTTCCAAATTTTTGCTCAAGAAGCATGATCATCAAATAGAAAAGTGTAACAACTATTTAATAGGAACACTGATAACTGGACCATATCCAGAGGATGGATATGGCATGTGAAAACTGGCTGAAAGAAATGACAATGTTTATCCCTGAGTGCATTACGGGGACCTTTTCATACTGAAATGCTGTCTTTTAGAAGAAGGGTTAGTTATTTCTGTTGTATGTTGTAGATGGGTGAGGAAGAGAGAAGGACAAGGCGAGAAAGGAAGAAAACAGGGTTAATTTATAAAAATTACAGGAAGTTGAATTTTAAGTCAAGTAGTCACCTTTCACCTATTGGGTTTCTTTATACATAGTTTCCCTCCAACAAATTTTTTTTTTTTTTTTTGAGATAGGGTCTCCCTCTGTCCCCCAGGCTGCAGTAATATAATCATAGCTTGCTGCAACCTTGACCTCCTGGGCTCATGTAATCCTCCTTCCTCAACCACAGGAGTAGCTGGGACTATAGGCACATGCCACCACGCCCTCCTAATTTTTGTGTTTTTTGTAGAGATAGAGTCTTGCCATGCTGTGCAGGCTGGTCTTGAACTCCTGGGCTCAAGCTATCCTCTTACCTGGGCCTCCCAAAGTGCTGGGATTATAGGCATGAGCCACCATGCCTGGTCCCAACATTTTGTTAGGAAAGAATTTTGAACACACAGCAAAGTTGAACAAATTTTACAGTGAATATCCATTTACAATGAACCTAGATCCTACCATCTAGATTCTACCATTATATTTTACCATTATATTCTACCATTATGTTTTACTGTACTTGGTTAATCACATATTTATCCATCTATGTGCCCCTAAATCCATCTTATTTTTTTTGATACATTTTAAAGGAAATTTTATATACTTTTGTCTGACACTGGGAAGGCAATGCACCTTAATCCCACGAGCTTTCTTACACAGGCTAATGGCTGTTTACTGGGGACACTATAGTGAGGATTTCTGCATTGAGTAGGTGAAGAGGACCAGAACTGTGGCTTTCAAACTTTTCTGACTGCTACCCCTACTAAGAAATGTATTTCACTTCCTATGCAGTGTACACACATACATACTGAAGTAAAAATTTCAGGAAACAATATTTACCCTTTACATGTGTGAATCATGCTGACATTTTCTATTTTATTTCATTTAAAAAGATGCTGGGCATGCTTCCCCAACTTGATTTAGATACCCACTAATGGGCTGTAATTTACCATTTAAAAATCATTGTACTTAGTCCAACTCCAAGAAGATTTTTCTTCTTAAAAGAATCCCGTGGCTACTACTAGAATTTTCCTTATCTTCCCAATTATCAAGAACCTGTTTTGAGTCTCAGCACAGTACTTACTTAACATGCATGGCGTTAAGGCATGTGTAATTAAGAGAGAAACCTTAAATTCTTGGTAAGACTTCTGGATAGAGCCAATTCAAACATTCTTTATTAGTAAGTTTACTAATTATTTTTACAAACAGTGGGATAAAGATACGTACTCTTGGAATGGGTGGGAGGGTTTAGTACTCATATAGTCTTCTGTTAAATTAGGCTATTAATGAATGCCCTCGGTGGTTCCAACAAAGTAGAGAATAAGATCAAATGAGAAAATGTGGATGGGAAAGTGCTTTGTAAACTAATGTTTTATTAATACTGTTGTGTGATGCCAGGAAGAAAGGCATGTTGCGATCAAGCTCTAGGGAGGCAGTGTTTCAGTATTTTAAAAACTGTTCTTGTGGAACTGTTACATTAACCTCCCCAAGGCCCAATAACTACGCTTTGACGCGAGACTCTCGCAACAGGGTAGAAGCTATGAACTTGGAGGGGTTTGGCCCCGAATTCAAGCGTCCTGCTCCTTTGGCGCATGCTCAGGAGCGACTCGGGCCTCCTCGCGGGGTTGGGCAGAACTCAGAGGGCGGAGTTCGGGCCACGTGGGGTCTCGTGACGTCATCTCCAGGCGCCGAGGGTGACTGGACTTGTGGGGCGCTTCCAGGGCTCCGCGGCGCTGCCGGTTTTATTCGCTGGATACCAGAGGGCGGAAGTGCAGCAGGGTTTGGCTCCGACCTCCGCGCCGGTGCTTTTTGCGGCTGCGCGGGCTTCCTGGAGTCCTGCTGCCGCGTCCCCGCAGGATAGTGTGTTAGGTGGGCAGCCTGCCCCGCCGCCCCGCCAGAGCCCGGAATCCAGGCGTCACCACCAGTGCGGGGAGCCGGAAGGAGGAGCCGTCGTTTCGGGTAGGGTACGTGTGTGTGTCCCCTTGTGTGATGAAATTCCTAGAGGAGGAGGGCTGGGGAGGGGCCAGGTAGGTGTGGTAGGAAGGAGGGGTGAAGCTGTCTGGAGGAGCGCCCGCCCGGCGGCGATGGAGGGTGAAGGTGGTTCCTCCGGGCAGAGGTGGAGTTGGTGAGACGCCGCCCCGGGGCCGGTTGGCGGGTGTGGCCTGTGGGGTCCCTCTTGGGGTACATGTCTGTTGCTTACTAAGGTAGGAAAGCGAGAGTCTAGTCACAGGCTCTAGAGTTCAGTTCAGGAACTGCATTTTTCCTGGAACACAGTTATTTAAACCTTTATTGCACAGTGCAGTGTGAGTCTGTCCAAACTCGGTGGGTATGTCCTCCAAACAATTTATCTATTTACGATATTCCTTGTCTCAATAATTATATTTAGTGCTACCAAAGACATTTTCTGTTGGCAAGACACTTTTACATATTTCATTTGTACTTTGGATTATTTTACAATTATCCTGAACTTGAGGAACCTAGGAAACTGTTGGTTCTAGATTTTTCTGAGGGGTGAGTAGGCACAGCATGTCTTGAGCAGTCAGAACCCGGAGACCCATCAGGCAGTAGCTGAACTTCCAAAGCCTTCCAGAATTGGATTGTTAGATTTCTGAGACCTTGAAACTGGATACTTGGCTCTGAACTGAACTATTGTGATTTCCGGAGGGAGTTTCTGGTTGAATTTTGAATTTGAAAATAAGGATGTTGGGCTGAGGGTAGTAGTTGAAAGGTATTTTACACCAGATTTAAGCCTGTGCTTTGATCTTCAAAGATATGCTACTTAAAATTGGGGAAAAGTGGACGGAATGGAACTGTATGGATATGGGTTTTTAAAATAGTGCACACACCTCAAGTGTGTGTTTATTTCATTAATTTCCCCCAAACTGAGTACCTCCTATGTGTTAGGCACTGGACAAAACAGTAAACAAAATAGTGAACAAAAGAATAAAAATCCCTGCCATCATGAAGTTCCACTTTGGGGATGGGGTGAGAAGACATTGATACAAAAATTAAGGTACAGTCTTTCCTATCCCTCGGCATCTCTGGGAGATTGGTTCCAGGACCTCCCTTGGATACCAAAGTCCTCAAATGCTCAAGACCCTGATATAAAATGGTGTAGTGTTTGCAGATAACCTATGCACATCCTCCTATCTTTAGTTCAACTGTGCATTATTTATAATACCCAAGACAACTGAAATGCTATATAAATAGTTGGTATGGTGTATTGTTTGGGGAATAATGACAAGAAAGAGTCTATACATGTTCAGTACTGACTTTTTTTCTTCCCTGAATATTTTTCCATCCATGATTGGTTGAATACAAGGACGAAGAACCCATGGGTAGGGAGGGCCAACTGTGTATGCCAAGTGGCCGAAAGTGCTAGAGAAAAAAACCAAAGCAGTGCAGGGGTATAGGGAAAGCCAGGAGATGGAAGTGGTGGCCATAGAAAAGATGATATTAATGTGGAGGCCTATAGATGATAAAGAAGGTTGCCACTTGGAAAGAGCTACCACTGAAGCCCTGAGGCAGGTGCATACTAGCTAGTTTGACTGGAAAATAATGAACAAGAGGGAAAGAAGTAGTGGATACTTAGATGGAAATGGGGCCAAGTCTTTTAGGACCATGTAGGAATTTATAAGAACTTTAATTTGTACTTTGAATGAGATGGGTTTTGAGTGAGGAGTAAGTTGATCTAACTTGTGTTTTAAAAGGTCTGATTGCTGTGTTGACTGTATGCAGCAGGTGCAGAAATAAGAGTTGTTAGTAGACCATATTGACTGCATTTATCCAGGTTAAAGGTCAAGGTGATTAATCAGGGTAGTAATAGTGGAGGTAGTGCGAAATGACCAGATTCACTTTGAGAGCAGTTAGGTAGAAGAAGGGTCAAGGTGGACTCCAAGGGTTACAGACTGAGCAGCTGAAGAATAGCACTTGGTGGGGCATGGTGGCTCGTGCTTGTAATACCATCTTTGAGAGAATCCCCAGCCTGGGCAACATAACGAGACCCTGTCTCTACAAAAAAAAAAAAAAAAATTAACTGGGCATAGTGGCATGAGCCTGTAGTCCTAGCTACTTGGGAAGCTGAGATGGGAGGGAAGGATCACTTGACCACCTTGAGCTCAAGGTTACAGTGGCCCGTGATCCCTCACTGTAGTCCATCCTGGGTGACATCGAGACCCTGTCTCTTAAAAGAAAAAAAAAAGGACTTTTCCACTTAGCAAAACAGAAAAGACCACAGAATGATAGTGATAGGAGAGAGGAGGAAGGAAGATCTGAAATGGTTTTCCGTTTTGCATATGTTACATTTCTAAATGGAAATGTCATATGTAGTGGTATATGTGAAGCCAGGCAGTTCAAAAGAGAAGTCTGGACAGAAGATAAAACTGTGAGAGTGTAAATGTATAAGTGGTATTTAAAACCGTGTGAGAGATCTCCAAGGGAGTGGTTCAAGGACTGAGTCCTGGGGCATTTCAACATTTAGAGTTTGGAGAGATTTACAAAATTTCCTCCCACCCAGGGTGGGACTGTTGAGTAAAATTCCTCTTGAGAATCACTGATTCACAGTAAGCAGATAGAAGGAAATAGAAAGCAAGGTCATTAGCTGAGAGAGAGAGAGGAGAAGGAAGAAGTGAACGTTTGAGGGAGGAGAAGGTATGGAATAGTGATGTAGGAAAGGGGGAGAATAAATGGACTAGGGAAAAGTAGGAACACTAGGCAGTACCAAGGGCCCGGTTTTGAGGTTAGTGTTTATGAATTTAAAGGAAGACCAACCAGCATATATTATTATTTTTTGATGTTTACGCACTTAGTCTAGTAAGTATTTGATATTTCTAGGTAGTTGGGAGTTTTGTCAACGAAAATTACTTCAGGTAGTAGGTTAGTCTTTCTTGGTACGTAGTATGAAAGAGACTATTAGTTGTGCATTATATTGTTATCACACCGTGCCATTTTCTAAATGACTGATTGGTTAACAGATGTTGTTGGTGGGCACCTACTCTGTCCCAGGCTCTGAACTAGATGCAGAAAATAGAACAGTCAAGAATAGCCCCTGCCCTCAAGAAACTCACTTCTAGTAGATTGCATCATGGGTTGGAATTTCTTTATTTCCAAGATATTTCCTTGAAATTGGATGGATGGTGATAATGGTGTAGTGTATGTAGGAGAGAGAAAATCTTTCTAAAATAACAGAGTATGCTGAATTTAAAGCGTGACTGTACTGATTTGCAAAGGAGTTTAGGGATAAAATTTCTTAAGTAGCTAGATTCATATATTTATATATTTTTTCCCCATTATTTAACAAAAATGTCAAAGCCTACTATCTGCTAACTATACTAATATTGGTGATTAGAAGGCACATATGACTAAATTTTGCTGTCAAAGAAAATTTCAATGTGGGGAGGGGCAGGAGACAGATAAGATAAACAGATAATTGCATTGTATGATATTGCATGCTATTAAAGAAGTAATTAGACTGGAGGCTGCTTAGGGGAAAGCTTCCCAAGGAGCTGATATTAAGCTTAAGAGGATTAAGAGTTGGCCCAGAAAGGATAAAAGAGTTGGCCAAAAGAGGAGGGAAAAAGTGTTCAAGCAGAGGGGCCATGGAAATACGAGGAAACTGTGTACTAAAAACATACATTGTTTATTGAGTGGTTACCAAATGTACTAAACACCTAACAGCCCTGTGAAAATTATAATTATCTTCATTTCACAAATATGAGAGTCAAAGAGGATGGGTTTGTTGTCCAACACACGTAACTAATAGGTGGAAATCAGGGTTTAAACCCATGTCAGTCTGATTTCAAAGCCCCTTAACTATCTTATTGTATTTTGCATGCTGTCAGCATCTAAACTTCCTTTCCCTTGTTCTTTATCCCTCGTTTTTCACCAGCTTCTCTTTCTTCCTTGGAAAGACTCATCTGTTTTTCACCAGTCCACGACTACCTCTATAGGTCAGGCACTCATTACTTTTTCCCTTAGTTGCTGAAATTACTTCCTGGCTAGCCTCTCTGACTCAAGGCTCTCCTTTTGTGCACTGCTACCACATAATTGTTTTTATTTTACCATTCTAAAACCTGTAGGCACTATAGGACTGGTGGATGAAATTGAGATCCACCCCTAGTTTTCTGTTTGGTGTGTTTCATGGTCTAGTCTCATTTAACTTACATTTACAGATTTGACATTAGAGGAATAATAATTGCTTGCATTTCCTAGCACTTACCGTGTGTCCATTATTGTATCAAACACTTTATGGATTTTTTTTTTTTTTCCAGAACAACCTTGTGACTTGGGTAATATTAATTCCATTTCACAAGTGAGGAAATTGAAGCTTAGTGAAGTAAAGTGACTTGCCTAAAGGTCACATGTGATGTTAAAACATGTTTTGGTATCAGCTCTTTCATTATCTATTAATACTACTCTCAACCCAAAATTTCCTTAAAAGTTGGCACAAAAATTGCGCCTGCCCACTTAATGCCTTTATTGATGCTATTTTGGCCTGTTAGAATATTTGTCATCTTTTCGCCTGTCCATATTCTACCCATTCTTCAAGTTCCACATCTTTTAAAATTCTTTGAACACTATAGGATGTATTAATATCTCCAACTCCCCTCTTTCCTGTGCCCCATGAAAGCTCTCACAAAGTAACATTTAATTATACCATGGACATATGGATGTTTTGGAGTTGAGAGGGATGATGGCAGTCCATATAGTATGATAGAAAGAATATGAGATTAGAAACCTGAGTTAGGATGTGGCTTCTAATTTTGGCTCTGCCATTTATTAGCCACAAGATTTTAGAAAAATCATCTGACATCCTCTTCTCAAATTTATCACTTGTAAAATGGGAGCATATATGCTTGTGTGTATCAAGTGTGAGGTAATATAAAATGTATAGTATTTTTGGAGTTACTTGATATTTAAAGTAGTATATAATCTACTGTTATCTAATTTTTATTATCTAATCTCACCTGCTTACCTCATTTTTCGGGATTCTGTTTGGTTCTGTAATTTTATATCATACACTGTCTTTCCAACACATTCAAATTCAGTAAGCATTTTTTGAGCACCTACTGAATTCCAGATACCATTCCAAGTATCAGAGGTGAAGAGATGAATGAGATATGATCCTTCTCCCTAAGGGAATCTATTACAGTCTACTGGAGGAGACGTACAAATAAATACTATTGATAGAAACTTACAAGGGTAGAGGAAAAGTAGAGGTGCCGAGACAAAACAAGGCGAGTTCTGCCTGAATCATGTGTAGAAGATAGATTATTTTGAGCTGGGTCCTAAGGGATGTTTAAGTTGGAAGACAAGGTGAAGAAGGCTGCTTTAGGGTAAGGGTACCACCAGCATGGGCAAAGGCACAGAAAGGACAGAAAGTGCATGGTATGTTTAGTAGATTTGGAGATTATACTTTGTTAAGGACTGAGGTTTTTAAAAGTCCATTGTTGTTGTTCTTCTAGCACCTACCACACAGCTAGGCATATCAAGTGATTAAATATTTGACTCTAAATTGCATATTATTAGCAATGATTACTGCAAAATTTTTAGCTTTTTTATACCTATAATTCCTACTTATATAATGCTTTTGATTATTATTAGGTTTTGAAGTCTTTAAATGTTACTTTTAAACATTTTTTGAGACATGTTCTTGTTCTGTAAATTATAATGGTAGATAACCTTTATAGTACATATTATATGATGGATGTTGTTGAAGTGCTTTACATGTATTAATTCATTTAATTCTTGTATCTAATGTGGTAGGTGCTGTTTTCCCATTTTACAGATGAGAAAACAGAAATAGAGAAGTTAAATGACTTACTTGAGGTCACACTGTAAGTGGTGGAGCTGGTTTTGGGTCCAGACAGTCTGGCTCCACATTTTACATTTCTGACTCCTACTCTATAGTGCCTCTCAAGAGTAAATTTTGTTTTATTGCCTCTTTAAAAGAGGATTATTGAAAACTTACATCCTTTAGTTTTATTCATGTATCCCTACTTTTTCTTACGTATTTTTAAAGTTAAGTGTATTCACTGGAGACATGCTTTCTTATATAATTTATTATAGGTAAATATTAATATTGAAAGATTAACGTTTTAAGATCCTATAAATTTGGGCCTGTGTATTTTGAGGCAGTAAGCAGCCTCGTTTGCAGTTTTCATAAATCTGTTTTGCAGAGTTTGTTTGTTTTGCAAAATTTGTATCGGCTCTACTGCGTTATACCTTTAGCTGCGTTGGCTGAGTTAGTTCTTCCCTTTAGGTCTTGCAAAAAATATACATGTAAGCAACAATAGTATATGGGAAATAAAGTACCAATTTATCTTTCACTCATACTTTGTACTTAAAATCCTACTGTAGAACTTTGGTAAACTTTGCTAGAACATAAGACTTTAAAACTCAAGCCTGTAGTTGAAGTCTTGAGGTGTTCTGCCTTCCCCTAAGTCTATATTTGTATCTCTTTTGGGAAGGGACTTAGAAACAGAGAGCATTGGTCATTCATTTTACTGTTCGTGAAATGTGGAAGGGAGAAACAGAAGAGAATGTCATGGAAAGAAAGAGCAGGGTGGTCCGGGTTCTTGTCTGGCAGCCTAGAGGGGAGAGAAGGGAGCCACACTCACATGCATGATATTTTGGTTTATGTTGATCCCTGCCTATTAATAAACATGGCTCAAGTGGTGTCCTGGAATCTGACCAATCAGATTATTATTCCTCCTTGAGAGAACAGTGCTTGGAGAGGAGGGAAGAGCAATTGTCTTGGATTATATTTTCTATCTGCTTCTTCTGAGAAGAAAAATAATATCAATAGTGACAATACAGTGACTTCAGCTTTAGGCTTGTAATTAACTTTTATTAAAGATTTTTATTAAAGGAACTCTTTGTCTCAAATTATTTTTCTCTTCATCATCAAAAGGTGAATCTCAGTTGCAGCTGCTGACTAACTTGATGTATCATGGCTGCAGAAACAACTGCATACCACCTTTATATCAGATTCAATTTTAGTTTTACTTATTTGTGATAACCTAGATTTCATTATTTTTTGCCACTAGTAAATTTCCTTTAAAAAGAGCAAGCTATTAATGTAATCAGGAAGTAGTATGGTCTTTCCTGTTTTCAGTGAGTTAATTTTGTGTCATTTGTAAACTTGGAAATTTTTTGCCAAATGCAGAAACTCAATAGTTGTTTGAATTTGTAGCCTAGCAGTGTGGAATGATAGGAAGTTTACGTGCATGTATGTATATCGTTTACTTAAAATAGTTGTTTTTATGGATATGTTTTAATAAAAGTTAAAACACTAACTGAACTGGACTCAGTTTAAGAACCAAAATTCTTGTTGCCTAGTACTTTTATGTTGGACATACTTTTTCCACCTCTTGCAGTTTACTTACCTGTAGATGACATTGTGTCCAGTTGACCTCCAACTTCTTCTTTCTTTGACTAATTAATTTATGACCGTCTTAGTGTACTCGGCATTGGTCAGTGGAAGTGAAAAAAAGGGAAACAAACTCCTTGAATAATTCAGTGTTAATAATTCATATTTGGCTAAACTCGTAAGATTATTTTGAATGTTTTCATAAGATACGTTATGATAGATTATGAATTAGCTGCCTATCAAAGATGAGAAATATTATTTGGATAAGTATATTGAATCTTAGTATCCAGGTGCCACCTGTTGAGTTATTCTAAGTGTATATTATCAACAGTATTTATTTCAGCATTTACTCATGTCGTGTATTGTGTTATTCAGTTGTAGAATATTAGCTTTGGAAGGCACTTGGATATTATGGAGGTCAAAAGCTATGTCCTTATGCCATACCTAGAATACTGTTTTGCAGACCTAGTGCTATATCTGTGGTATAGAGAATATTCTGAGAGATCCAAGCAGAAGCATTTACTGTTTCATTGGGGACAGAGGACTGGGAGCTTGGTTTGCAGAGTAGGGATTTGAATAGGTGAGAGAGGAGCATATTAGGTAGGGGAATAGTAGGATACAGAGAAAGGTGTTTAGGGGGCCACTTTTGGTAGAAGGTTTACAAAAAGAAGTACAGTAATTAAAATGGAAGTATTGGTGGGATTACATTGTGGAGAGGATGAAATTACATTGTGGAGAGGATGAAATTTAGAATGGGGAATGGGTTTATAGAAAGATTTTTTCCCCAATGTGAAAGAGACATTTTCTAAGATGAGAGAGTAGTTTTGCAGGAAGAGAGGAAGAACTATCTGCAGGGGTAACTGCGAGAACGATCCTTTGGAGTTGGACTGTCAGGATTCATAGGGTATAGGTGAAGCTTCTCTTTAGATAAGCAGTAGACTCTTCTGGGCTTGAAAGACTGAGGCAAATATAGTTTCATTTTTGACTGTGGTTCATTACTCAAATGTACAACGAATATTACTGGTATATGTAATTTTGAATTAGTTACTTTTCTGATTCCTTTAAATAATAATTTTACATTTAGAATTTGTTGTACTTTTTTTTTGGATTTATACTAAAGATTGGCGATCACATTTTTTTTTTTTTGAAGTGGATAATCTTTATGGCATTGATTTTTTAAAATAATCTTTTGTTTTCTAGCAGGTTCATTCATCCTTGCAGGGATCTGACTAATGCTCTTTATTTTATTTTCAGTTTGGCTTTGGTTGAAAAAAGAATTTAGCCTGTATGTACTGCTTTAACTACTGGAAGAATGACAGATGACAAAGATGTGCTTCGAGATGTGTGGTTTGGACGAATTCCAACTTGCTTCACGCTATATCAGGATGAGATAACTGAAAGGGAAGCAGAACCATACTATGTAAGTACATTGATTGTGGCAAATGGGATATTTAACCTTGTCCATTTTTGTTAAAAAAAAAAGCTCTAAGAACTTGGAGGCCATTATTATGTAACATTTTATATATAGCTAATTCATGCTTATTTTGGAAAAAAAATTAACATAGATAAGCATAAAGAAGGAAATATTCACCTCTAATGCTACCACTCAGAGGACAAAACCACTGTCAACATGTTGTCATGATGCTTTGTTTTCCTTACATGTATGTGGGTATGTTAATGGAATCAATCATCTATGGTGCCTTCTTGACTTTCTTTTTCTTACGCATATATTCATATATAATAAATGTATGATAATGCAATAATAAGATATGTGCTTTTTTAATAGGAAGAGATTTTGAAAATACTGGGTTCAGATTGTATTCTTTTGTAGTTAAGAGATTCCAAGCAACTGTTTAACAAAGTGTTTTAATAGCTTAATGAACATATAAACATGCACATATACACACGATATGTTCACTGAGCTATTGTATGTTATATGTGAGATAATATGTAATATATATGTAATATATATTATAAATTGCTGCACCTTGACTTGCAGGTGTGAGTTAATGGATTACGTATTTTACAAACACGTTTCAAATGTCTTCTGATTTTGGTGTGCTTTGTTTCTCTTTTCTAAGTGCATGTATAATCCCAGTTTATGCCTCTGTCAGAGATGACATCCTGCCTGGTTTACTGAATAGCCCGTAATAGGCAAAGATATTCTCAATTGTTGTTACTGTTTTTTCTTTTTGTGTCTCAGGTATGCATTCTAGTGTTTACCTGGAGATGATGTGGAATAGTAGAATTGTATCTGTGATGAGGAAATGCTTCTTCTGTTTCACTTTAGTAAAGTCTGCCCCTTGTTTTCCCACTCATCTCTCTGAGAGGCAGCGCCGTTCCTTAGCCTGCCTTCGCTACGGGAAGTCAGATTACTGGAGGAAGCTACTTACTAAGGAGCCCATTCGCTCACTTTTTGGGTATAGGACTGTTGTTTTGTTTTTGTTTTTGTTTTCCTGTGTGCATCCTCAGCATCTGGCACTGGCTCTTCAAGTGGTACTGCTTAGTGCATGAATGTTTCCCCAGGCTCCTGTTGGGATTTTGTTTGAAATCATCTTTTTGGGTTTTCTTACTAGAAATGATAGTTTTAGAGAAGTTCGGGAATCTTGTTACTGGTACTCAAGCTTATATACATGTGAATAATCTTTGGAAATATCAACCGTTTTCTGTCTAGAAAAACACCACAGTTAAAAACCAAGTATGGTCATAGTTTTATTTTTAGAAGAATTTCATTTGTTAGAGATATTTTTTCTGTTCTTGTTCTGTAACATAGGTTAGGATACCATTTTTTTTTCCCAAACGAGTTTTTGGTGTTTTAATTACAACTTTAACTTTCATTGGCTTTGTAATAGTATCTTAACCAAAGAGTGTATTTGGCCAAATTGACAACAACTGAAAAATAATTTAAGTCTGTTTATTTTTATTTATTTTTTTTGAGACAGAGTCTCGCCCTGTTGCCCAGGCTGGAGGGGGCAGTAGCGCCATCTTGGCTTACTGCAACCTCCCCCTCCTGGGTTCAAATGATTCTCGTGCCTCAGCTTCTCAAGTAGCTGGGATTACAGGCGTGCGCCATCATGTCCGGTTAATTTTTGTATTTTTAGTAGAGACAGGATTTTGCCATGTTGGCCAGGCTGGTCTCAAACTCGTGACCTTAAGTGATCTGCCCGCCTTGGCCTCCCAAAATGCTGGGTTACAGGCATAAGCTACTCCACCAGGCCTGTTTACTTTTAAATCAAACTCTAGTATTTGACATACTTCCTAAAGTTAAATAAATTTCATGTAAAGAATACAATATTTTTTCTTTATAGACCTGTTTAAATGTGAAAAGACTGTTGTGAGCACTAGATTGTAAGTTGTTTTCTAGTGTTTCTAATCAAATTGAAAATGGCAAGAGTGTTGAGGGTAACCATAGGAGAAAGGATTGTCTTGTCTTGTAGGTAATTGCTTTTTTCTTTAATTCTTCCTAATTCTTCACCTAGAGAAACCTCTTATGCAGTCATGATTTGTGTTTTTGAAGACTGTTGGGTGACAGGCTTATAATAAATATAAAACAAAAAACTAGAATTTAAAACCATATGGCACAATCCAAATTTGGCTGTTTAAATACGTACGTGCATAAGTGTAAGTTAATACATACAAGGAAGACAATAAACAAAACATTAGCAATGACTAGTCTTAGAATTACAGATGAGGATTTTAGTGCCAATATAGCTGTAGTTCAGATATGTCCCTGGCTGTCAATTAAGCTTGAACATATTTTTAATATTAATATTACATATATTCCTGTCTTTTTTGCATTTTGATTTGTTGCCTCTGTGCATAAGTTTTCCGCCTATATCCTGTACATATTATCACTGAGTGTAGTATGTTTTATTTTTCAGAGAATATTGGGAAGGAAATATGTAGAAACTGGATAACTTTTCAGTTTGTATTCTTCCGGTTATGTTCATTTAAACTGTTGCTTTTTATTTAGATTATCCAGTATAAAAACACATATACTCATTTGCATTGCTATTTTGTGACTTGTGTCTAGAAGAAATCATGGTTAGACCCATGGTCATCAATGCCATGGACCCTTAACATTAGGCAGTGATCCTTTTATGTATCCTTAGTCAGGTGTCTACCCTTTTCCACTATGACTATGTCTCTGAGCCCTGACCTCTTCCTTCACTCTTAACAGGTGACCTCACTCCCTCTTTCATGAAGAAAATAGAAATGATGTAATAGGTGTGATAGGACCTCCCTTAACTTTCTGCCACCAAATCTGCAAAACCTATCTGCAGTCACACACATTTACTTCTCTTTCCCTCCTGTTATAATGGAAGAAGTATTCTTCCTTCTAGGCAAGGCCCAGCCCTCCATCTATCTTCTGCCTTCTCAGGAGGCTGGTGGTATCTGATCTTCTCCCATCTCCACCTCTGCTTTCTCTATTTATTTTACTTTCAACTTCTTATTATCTGCTGGCTCCTTCACCGTTTTTAATGTTGTCATAAATCCTTCCTATCCTGAAACAACAAGCCTCTGTTGACCCCATCTCTCAACTTTGGCTTTTCCTCCATGGCTAGACTTCTTAGCAAGATTGTTTATAGTCATTGTCTGCCTTCCACCTCCTACCAGTGAGTTTTCTGTAATCACATTTTCATACTATTCCAAGAAAACTGTTCTTGCCAAAGTCACTAATGGTATCTTTTTAGCCAAGCTCAGAGTCTGTTTTGTAATTTTCATTTGCGTTATCTCAGCAGTGTTTGATGTTGTTGGTTGTTTCTCCCATCTTGTGGCACTGTCCTGTTTAGCCCTGCAGTGCTTAGTATCCTTGGTTTTGCTTTTGCCTCTATGGTTTTTATGTGTGTGTGTATGTGTGTGGCCTTTTTTGCCACATCTTTCTCCTTTGTTTATTCCTTAATATTGGTATTTCTTAGGGCTCTGCTTTCTTTTTTTTTTTCACTTCACTTTTTACCCCCTGGAGTTCTTGTCCATTTTTATGTCTTTGTCAAGCATTTATATCTTGACAGTTCCCAATATTTTTCTCCTGAGCTCCAAACCTATATATTTGTCTGCTGGAGATCCTCACTTAGATGTCTTATAGGAACTCAAACTATGTATGTTTGAAACTGGACTCATCAGCTTTCCCCCCAAGAAAATATGGTCATCTGCATTATTTTATTCCCTTCCTATTTCAGCAAGAAGAATTACTCTTACTCGAAATCTGAGACTCATCGTTTGGTGCTTCCTTCTCTCTTATCCCAGATATTTAGTTGGTACCTTACTCCAGCTGATTTTAGACCTCAGTGTCTCTCAGACTTATCTGATTCCTTTCATCCTGCACTGCTACAGCCTAGACCAGACTACTGTTTAAAAACTGATCAGGCCAGGTGCAGTGGCTCACGCCTGTAATCCCAGCACTTTGGGAGTCCAAGGTGGGTGGATCACCTGAGGTCAGGAGTTTGAGACCAGCCTGGCCAACATGGTGAAACACCGTCTCTACTAAAAATACAAAAAATTAGCCAGGTGTGGTGGTGGGTACCTGTAATCCCAGCTATTCGGGAGACTGAGGCAGGAGAATCACTTGAACCTGGGAGGTGGATGTTGCAGTGAGCCGAGATCTTGCCTTTGTACTCCAGCCTGGGTGAGAAGAGTGAAACTCCATCTCAAAAAAAAAAGATCAAATTGCATGGTAGTAACCAGTTTCCTGCTTTTAGTTTTCCCTTCTTTCCGTTTTCTAGTCTGCAATTGGAGTGATCTTTTCGAAACACATATCTGATCTTGTCGTTTGCTTGCTTAAAACCTTTGTGGCTTTTCTTCATTTTTAGGATCTTTAATTTAGTTTACAAGGTTCTCTATAATCTGGCCCCTGGCTTCCTCAGCACTATTCTGGCTTAACTCTCTACCTTCCTATCATATTCAGCTTCTTAGACTTCACTCAAATGTGCCCATCTTTGTTTCTCTGTATTCATTCTATGACTTTTGTCGTGCAGTGTCCCCTGTTTGGAAAAGGCAGAGGTATCTCCCACACCTACACACACCCAGACTTCCACACCACCCCTGTTCATTTCACTCCTATTTGTCTTTTGACTCTTTGCCTTAAGATATACTTCGTGTCAGGGTATCCCCTGAAACTCTAGATCAGGTTAAATTCCTTTGCTACTTGCTCTTATAACATTCTTTACTTCCTCCTTGCATTAATCACATTTGTAATTTTGTATTTTGTATCTTTTTTGCTGTCTAACCTGTCTGCTGTATAAGGGGAGGGACTCCTCTGTCTCTCTCAATGCTATATCCTCATTGCCTAGTATGATGCTTTACACATTGGAGTGGAACAGAATTCTAGTATGTTTTACTTCTATTTTTGTCCTAGAAAGGTCTCTAATTTTAAAATTGAAAATTGTTGGACAGAATAGGACTTGGCATAAAGAAATAAAATTATGGGCAACTTTTTTTGAAACATAAGTATTCCATATAATTGCATAAAATATATATTCTTTTCAGCTGTGTAGATAAAAATGAATCACTTGTATCAGAGTCATGGAATACTTTATACTAGGGCTAAATGAGGAATAAGAGAATGACAGTTTCCATTGTAGCTGACAGTATTTCCAAATGGAGTTAATCTTATTCAAAGTAAAAGAACTAAGAGAACATTGAAAACATTTGTTAAGTGAAATAAACCAGACACAAAAGGACAAATATTATATGGTTCCACTTAAATAAGGTACCTAGAATAGTCAAATTCATAGAGATAGAAAGTAAAATGGTGGTTACCGGGAGCCGGGGAAGCAGGGAATGGGGAGTTACTGTTTAATAAGTAGAGTTTCCATTTAAGATGATGAAAAAGTTTTGGAGATGGATATTGAATGTACTTAGTATTACTAAACTGTACACTTAAAAATGGTTTAAATGGTAAATTTTATACCAGGTATATTTTACCACATTGAAAACAAAGAACTTAAACCAATGAAATACACCTAAGAAAAACAATGAGTAGTATATATAGTCTGCAGGTAAAAGGCAAGAAGATGATGTCGTTTCATGTTGTTTTCATTTTTATTTGTTTAAATATTTCCTAAGTAAATTGTATCTATATGTACTATAGAATAGTCATTCTTAAATCTTAGAGTGATTTCTTAGTGTTAATATGGATATATTAGTTAAAGATTACTCCCACAGGCCAAACAGAACAGAAAAATGCAGCTACATTTCAATGTGGATTCTGCCTTAAAAATGAGTATTCTTTTAAAATTACAGTTGTTGACTCTGCCTCACTTAACCTTTGGCATCTCTGACTCATTCAGCAAATATTTATTGTGTGCCTCCTTTAAAGCAGGCACTATTTTGGGCAGTGGAAATGTAGCATTGAACAAAACAGACAAAAATTCCTGTCTTAATGGAGGTTATAATCTAATGTTCTTTTTTCCTTATTGTAAAGAAGATTTTATTTCATAAAAATCATTGTGAGTTCTTTAGCAACTTTGAGTGAAGCCAAGGCATGTAGTACAACACTCTCCAAAATCGGGAACTGATATATCCATACCCATTAGCTGTGGTGTTTCTTCCCTCCTACTGTCTCCATAAGTTAATATTATTTTCTACAGAATAGATTACTATGTAATGCCCAATAATCACTTTTAAATTAAAGTTCAGGATTTACTAATAGAGACCTTATTAGACTAATAGATTATACTTACATATTTTTTGAAAACAGCTAATTTGCCATGCTGTTATGCTTTTTTGAAGAGACTTTAATGTCACATCTGTATTTGTCATTTCTGAAAGAATACAATGAATGTTTTCTCTGTCATTTATTTAAGAATAGCATGATATTGGCAAGTTATTTAAAAGTAAAATAGGGGCGATAATACTTCCTCTGGGGGGAAAAAACTGCTTTTTCTTACATTAAATAGTAAGAATTCCTTTTTCTTTCTTCACTAATCACAGTTATCTCTTTATAAAAGAACAACTCGTAGTCTATTGAATGCATAATACTATTCAACAGCTTTTTCATAGTATTTAGTACCTTGTATTCCGTGCTGGAGCATGCCAACTGTCTCCCTCCCATACCCCTGTACTCTGTAGCCCCTAGGATCAATGTCATGTTCTCCTACCTAGATGGGACCTGTTATCTTGGACTTCCATGATTAAATAGAAATTCTTTCAACCAGAATATCTCTTTTTGTATATATTTGCCAGCTTAGTAGTTCCACTTGATTTATTGGTCAACAGCTATCACCTTGAATAAAGAGCATGAAAGATCATGCAGTTATAAAAGCAGCCAAAAGAATAACAAAGCAGTTTTATCAGCAAAAGAAGTCAGACACTTAGGAAAGCAAGAAATGACTAGAGTGTCTACTGCAAAGGAGGAAAACCATAAATTTTTGCGGTTCTTTATATAAATCATAATTGATTTTCCAAAACACTCTTCCTGTTTTATTTTTGGATACCTTTTGTGGGGAAAAAAACACTGACCAGGTTCTTCATACTGTTTTTGTTAAGGCTTTACCTAGCCCAGCATTCTCTCTCATCCTTCAAAACATGATGGACTGGTTGAGAAGATTTGATTGATAAGTCAAGGTATACTTTAAGACTCGAGTTGATTATCTTCTTAGAACAGTTTAATTGACTCAGATGAATCATTTTAATTTTTAAGTTAAATTTGATAGAACCAATAAGTATCTTAAATAGTATGACATCTAATTACATTTTTATTTAGTGTTATAGAAAGTTATAGATAGATTTGTGTTGATGATTCTGGGCATTTATGTGGTAAGCTGTGCTTAAAGTAATGGCCCCGTAAGAAATATTAAAACATCTTAACCTTTAAGCTTTGATCTTCTATAAAAAGCAGTTGACTTTGTGTGGGATGTTCAAAATAATGCAAAGAACACGGCTGTTTTTCCTTAAAATTCAAAAACCTTAGTATTTTTTAAAAATAATAACTAGTAAATAAATACGATTTTACAAATTTTCATTTCAGTTGCTTTTGCCAAGAGTAAGTTATTTGACGTTGGTAACTGACAAAGTGAAAAAGCACTTTCAGAAGGTTATGAGACAAGAAGACATTAGTGAGATATGGTTTGAATATGAAGGCACACCACTGAAATGGTGAGTGAATTTTTCTGCATTATTAAGCATTAAGTATATACTAGCTTTAAAAAGGTATAGTGTGCCCTGAAACAATTGTAAAAAAGTTCTACAAGGATAGACGTCATTAGTCTAGCTCATACAATACATGAAGTTTAGACTTATTAGAATACGTTATTGAAAATATTTCTGCCTTCTGTTTGGATGCATGGATGACTCGACAGCTTCATATATTTTTAGCAATAGATTTTTGTATGGTACAATAAGAATATATTTGGTTATGGGCTATTTTCAGACGTATTTAAAACTCCCTTATGAAAAGTCATCTCTTGATGCTATTCAGTTTTATTTCTGTCACCAAAATATTTATAACATCTTTATATACATGATTACCTTAAGTGGCATTGTTCACACTGATTGCCATATTTAGTTGACCACTATGTCAGAAGCACATCTTAACTAGGCTTAGTTTAGAGTATTTAAAATATATTGATTTCCTTTTTACGTGAAAAATAAATTTGATGTTTTACATTTTTAAGAAGAGTATTGAACTGATAAGAACAGATACTACACTAATCCCAGCACTTCGGGAGGCCGAGGCTGGCAGATCACCTGAGGCCGGGAGTCCGAGACCAGCCTGACCAACATGGAAAAATCCCATCTCTACTAAAAATACAAAATTAGCTGGGTGTGGTGGCGCATGCCTGTAATCCTGGCTATTCGGGAGACTGAGGCAGGAGAATTGCTTGAACCTGGGAGATGGAGGTTGCGATGAGCTGAGATTGCGCCATTACACTCCAGCCTGGGCAACAAGAGTGAAACTCTGTTGCAAAAAAAAAAAAAAAAAAGTATTGAAATCAAATCCTAAACCTGGGCTTATCTATGTACAAATGATGTTTTTTTGTACTTCCTCTGTTATTGGGAGTTTTGTTCATTGTGCTTCCAAAAATATTTAATGAAACTGGAAATTACAGAGCGAAGAATGTAAAAAAAAGAATAGTTCAAGGTATGCTGGATGTTAATGTTGAAATGCTGCCATTTGGATACAGTTGAATGAAAAGATACAGGCTAAGACAGATTTAAATGAAACATGAAAAATACAAATTGGTTAAAAATGGACTTGCTCTCTGAATTGGGGAATATTAAAATGAGTTTTTGAAAGAGCTTTAGGACAAATGAAAGGAAGCTAGTTAGGTGTTTAATAAATGCAGCTGATGTGAATCAGAGGACTTTATTAGCAAGGAGAGAAATTTTGGAACTCACCTTGTGCTGATGAGATCCCAAGAATGAGTAAATTTTTCATAATGGCTTACAAACATGCAAGATTGTATTTTGGGTCCCGTCTCTAATCCTTTGAGGTGGTTCTGGGAAGTTATGACACAGTTGTCTTGTTACAGCATTCTTTCTTTAAGTCAAAACAGTACTGAGCTTCATGATCATGTATCAGTCTCCTCTGACTCTTCTTGAGTAGTTCTAGACATCACGCAGCATAGATAAGGCGGCAATGTTTTCCGTTTTTTATTTCTCAGGAGAATTGGAGGTTTTGGAAGGGGAAGGTGGCTTAAAGGAAGTGTAAATGGAGTAACGATTATTAAATAGAAGAGTAGAATGACAGGATGGGGGGAAAAGAGTGTGGGAGAGTAGCAATGGCGTGTATATATGCACTTGACATTTCTATCTATAGTTATTTACATTGCATTATATGTCTTACAGATTATCTCGAGATTTTGTGTGACTAGCGGGGCTTTTCAGTTTTATTGTAAAGCAGGATTTCTCAATAGGGTCACTATTGACATTTTGAATTTGATAATTCTTTGTTGTGGTGGGCTACCCTGTACGTTATAGGATATTTAACAGCAGCTCTGGCCTCTTCCTACAAGTGCCAGTAGCACTTCCTCCAGTTTTGATTATCCAAAATGTTGCCAGATGTCCCTGAATGGAGGCAGAACCGCCCCCAGTTGAGGAACTCTGGAAAATTTGGGAAACCTCAATTTAGCTTGTAAAGTAAGTGATTGCTAAGTCATCATCTTTCAGTTGCTGTTTTATTCTGTCCCTTGTGGTAATTATTCTTGTATTCTATATGGCTTATATTTTATAGGTTTATAGGTAAATAGTGTTTGGACCCATTTCTCCTTGTCACTGCAGAACAATGGTTTTGGCTAAAACATTATTATACCATGTTCTTTCTTTGTCAGTATTTATCCCTTTGGAAAGTCTTTTATTAAAGAGTGGAGTTCTTTTCCCTTTTGGAGAGCTTATGTGAAAGCAATTATATTCAAGTATCTTCATGGTAGTTTTGGGGGTGTTAACTTTTTATGTGTTATATCAATTCCACAGTTATGTCATGCTGTAAGCTCATTATAGCTAATGACTTTTGATACATCTTTTCCTTTAGTGTTTTTAAGTACTCCATATATATGAGGCGTGAATAACTTCCAGAGGCATAAATGTAATCCAAGACCTCTAGGCTTAGTCTTGATCTTCTCTCTTTGCTTCCAGTAATATCAGTTTTCTCTTATGTTAAAAAATGTCTCTTCCTGGAAATAGGCTATCAATATAAGAATATCTGGCATTTAAATAGTGGGTTTTGCAAAATAGGATGGTTTTGTGAATTTCCATCAGTGTAGGAAAGCAGCTACCACTGAAGTGTTGGAAGACTTGGACTTTTGAGACCACACAAGCGTCTTAAAGATAGAGAAGCATTTATTTGAGTTGGATAATAATGTCTTTCCTATATTTATTCTTTGGAGTTTTAAATAAATTCAGGTAGGAAAGGAAATTAGTCGCCAGTTAAGACAACTCATAAATGAGGGAAGAAAGAACAGAAATTGATGTTTCTTCTCTTCTTTATAACCTTGTCACTGATTCTGTCCCCTAATTCAAATAAGTCTGTCTTTTTCATACAAGGTGACAATTCTCAATGGCAAGAAAAAAAACTAGAGTCCTTGATAATCATGACTTCCATCATACTCAGATGTTAAAAATATGACTTTATCTTCCTTTTGGTAGGACATAGATGAAGAGTATGGGAGCTTTGTTTTTTAAACAAATGCTTGGTTTTAAAGAGTCTTTTAAGAAATAGTACATATAGTAAAATTAGTTATAGATAATAGCAGAATGGAGTATTCTTAAAACAAATTATTTTTCCTTTACTGTTAATTCTTTCTTACTATTCTTTGTTCATCTACTTGGCTAACAGACTCTTTGAGAAGGGAAAAATAATCCCAAGCATATAATTAATGTGGAATAAAATTCATCTTTTCTTTTTTTTTTTTTTTGAGACGGAGTTTTGCTCTTGTCGCCCAGGCTGTAGTGCAGTGGCATGATCTCAGCTCACTGCAACCTCCGCCTCCCGGGTTCAAGTGATTATCCTGCTTCAACCTCCTGAGTAGCTGGAATTACAGGCTCCTGCCACCACACCCAGCTAATTTTTGTATTTTTAGTAGAGACAGGGTTTCACCATATTGGCCAGGCTGGTGTTGAACTCCTGAGCTTACGTGCTCCACCTGCCTGGGCCTCCCAGAGTGCTGGGATTACAGGCATAAGCCGCTGCGCCTGGCCAATTCATCTTTTTTAGAGTATGGTTTGAAGAGATTTTAAACAATTGTGTACCGTTGTATAGCTACTAACAAAATCAAGATGATAAGATATTTAATTTCACAAAATTCCCTGGTGCTCCTTTACAGTTACCTCTTCCTTCCCCCAACTCACAGCAATTACTGATCTAATTTCCCATCTCAGTGGTTTTACCTTTTTCAGAATGCCGTATAAATGGAATCATGTAGTATGTAGCCTTTTGTGTCTGAATTTTACCTCGAGTAATGCTTTTGAGACTCATCTTTTTTGCATGTATTAGTGGTTTTTTCCTTTTTATTGCTGAATAGTATCCCACTGTATAGTTGTACCACAATTGTTTATTCATTAACTGATGGACATTGGGTAGTTATCATTCTGGCACTATTTTGAGAAAAGCTGCTGAAAACACCTAGAGGTCTTTCTCTGCCAAACCACATATATTGTAAAAGAGGAAAATTTAATTTTGTTTTCCGAATGTTCCTTTATTTTTTATTTTTATAATTTAAAAAATTTTTGCTATGGAGTGCTTCACAAATTTGGGTGTCATCCTTGTGCAGGGGCCATGCTAATCTCTGTATTGTTCTAATTTTAGTATATGTGCTGCCAAAGCGAGCATGAATGTTCATTTTTAGTATGTGGAAAATGTGATTGATTTTTGTGTTCTGCAACTTTGCTGGACTCACACACTAGGTCTAGGAGTTTTTTTGGTAGATCCTTTGGGGTTTTCTATGTAAACAGTCTTGACATCAGCAAATAGAAACTAATTTTTCTAATCTGTAGGCCTTTTATTTCTTCTTCTTCTTCCCCTTCCTCCTCCTCCTCCTCCTCTTCTTCTTCTTCTTCCTTCTTCCTTCTTCTTCTTCTTCTTCTTTCTTCTTCTTCTTCTTCTTTTTCCTTGGATAAGAGTGGTGAGAATGGACATCTTGTGGGTTCTTAGTTTTATGGGGAATATATTAGTCGTTCACAATTGTCATGAATAGATGTTGGATTTTTGTCAGATGCCTTTTCTGTGCTAATTATATGATTGTATCACTTTTCTTCCTTAGCTTGTTGCTATAATAGATGACATTTGTGGATTTTTGATGTTGGACCAACCTTGTATACCTTTAATAAGTCCCATTGGTCACGGAATGTAATTAGTTTTATACATTGTTGGATTCAGTTTGCCAAATAATATTTTGTTGAGGATTTTTGTGTCTTACGTTCATGAGAGGGATTGTATTTTTCTATTTTTTCGATTGTCTGATTTAGTATTAGGGTTATACTGGCTTTATAAACTGAGTTGGAAAGTGTTCTGTTCTGATGTATTTTCTGGAAAAGATCGTGTAAAAATGCTGTTAATTCTTTAAGTGTTTGATAGAAATCTCCAGTGAAACCACTTGGGTCTGGAGGTTTCTTCCTGGGGAGCATTTTAATTACCAATTCAATTTCTTTGATATATATAT